GGTCCAAACTTAATACAATCTCAATATTTTCTCAAAGGAATTATTTTTATTAATGTCTTTCCTTGTTTTTTTTTTCCTCAAACAAATTAGATATATTAAAGCTTTATATTTTCCAGATGTATTTTGAAAACCTGTTATATATTCAGTGCTCTGTGGAACAAGATGAAATTTGAAATGGAATTAGGGAAACTCAGGTGAACTCGGACCAAATTTTCTCTTAAAAAAACCATTGCCCATAGGAGTAACACTAATTTCTTAATCAGGATTAAATTTTAACAAGTGTTCTATAATAGAAACAAAATACGCTGCTGTATTATATGTGGGAATTAAAAAATATCAAGAAACAAACCAAGCATGCCTTGTTTATGCAGATGCATCGTTAGCCATATTTTCCCTTTTTATTGATTTTCCTTTCTTGCTAACAAGCTAGAAACGACTCCTGTGAAACATAATTATATCTGCAATTTAATTTTTTGGCTGTATTTGCTGCATAAAATTCATCATCTAATGTCTGTACGAATAAAATCATTTATTAATATTGATAGGTGATTTAACATCATATCAGCAGAGCACAGATGAGAATAGTGATTTAAGAAAATTGATGAGTAATATTTTTGCATTTTATCTAAGATGAATACAATTTGTTGATTTTTTAAAATGTTGGATTTGATGAGTCTAATAATATTGAAAGAGGTTAAACTTGCAGACCAAATTATAAGCTATTTATACTTTTGATACAAGATCTCTTCATTGTGTTTTCCTACATTTTATCAACCTTCTAGTTCAAATAGCATCTTCAATGTAATTCTCTTGCCTAATATTGTAAGCATTGTTTGTTAGATTTCAGAAAAGGTATTGTTTGAAATAGAATACGTGTCAGTTTTTTTTTTGTCTTGACTTATCTTCATTGATTGTAATACCTGCTTGTGTGGCTTGAACTATGTAAACAAACAGTAAGAAGTAAAATCTCAGATTTATTGCCAGCTCTTAAGAACAATCACTGTTTTACTGATGGAGTACTTAATCACTAACAATTTTTTTTTTGGAAAAGATTTTTTTAAGTGTGTTCAATCTTCGTACAATCTTTTGTTTTTCTCAAATTGAGATGCAAATCAAAATAATACAATCTTCAAAATAGTAATATAATCACAATTGAATCGCAGACAGATACCATTAGAATGCCAGGCCTACATTACATCGTTAACCCACGGGACTCCAGGATTATGTCAAGACGATGAAATACGACGGAGAGAACAATGAGGTACGCAAGCTTATGCATGCATCCGGATACAATGTTAGGCTGATTTTATTTTCCCGTAACAGATGGCGTTAACAATGACAGACGTTTTATTTGGATATCGTTTTACAATTGTGTCTTCCCTGTGATCCTCCTGGACTTACACAGGAATGTATAATGATAGTATTATGACCAAATACCATGTTAGACTCTGATCACAGTTGTGTTTCCCTGATAGGATAAGTGCCCTGGGATACGTTTTGAAACTTTATATGATTGTGAGGCAGAGGCATATTTATTTATTTTAAATTATGATTTCCATTGCTATTTTCAAAATAATAACATTATGTTCAGAGTCATTTTGGTAAAGAGGCTTTGATGCTACTGTTTATTACGAAATAATTACATGAAGCACGTAACAAGGAGAAAATTGATAAACTGTCTCCAAGAAAAATAATGAAGCATGGCTTCTCCATCCTTCATTGTCATCTGTAAATTTCTCATCACAATCAGACTGTTATAAAATATCAAGTCAAAATATATTGTTAAAATAAAAAAATAAAAATTTGTACTGTTTTTTTTTATGATTCATTATATTTATGGTTGAAGTCTGACTTTGAGCTGTTGTAGAGGAAATTCTACAATGATAGAATTAACTGTAATAGGAAGTATGCTCCTCTAACACAACATGGTAAATGATCGATGTATGGATGGATAGCCACAAATTGATAATAAATGCCAAGAAAAACAATTCTGCAATGAAAACTCTCACCTAGTAAGAGAGACTTCGGTTTGAAGCATTTCGGTAACGTGATCGATGTTTTTCCATTTGTACTTCATTATCAAAACGCATATGACGACCCGTCAAAAGCATACACTATAGAATTTGTCATAAATCATTGAGTAATTTTTATATATTGATATTGGAGAGCTGGTCGTATGTGTAGGCCGCCTCCTCACTCATCCTCTGGAAACGCATTGCCAGCAATTTTTTGTTGACAGTTTAAAAGGAATTGTAATGGTCTTTTTCAAGGGGATTGTGTTATGTTCTACGATTTTGGATTTGTTACGTTTATAGTGTAATTCACGGATTGCACACAATTCAAAAGTCGGAAGATTGTTATAGTTCTAAATGTATTTTTACACTACCTATCGTATGTTACGATAATCATAGTCGCCATCCCTCGGGCATTTTAAGTAATTATCCTTATTGCCTGTTCCATGACTTACATCATTATATCCTCCTCTATCATCTTTTCCTACATCGCAAGGGAGAAATATGATGATGTTCGAATTTTGATAATCACGATAATGTTATCTTTGACAATAATAAAATTCAATGATTGAAAGGTAATATTCATAAAAATTCATTCTGGCTTTTGAAGGATAGTAAATGATGTTGATGATGAGTTAAGGCTGTGGTGTGATGGTTAAGATACTTTCCTTCATATCTCAGTGTCCTAGGTTCAACTCCTGTCAGTGACAGTATTTCTTTCTCACACCCATAACACTTCCACTCCCTAAGCCTAGTATAGTAATGTGATTTACTTATAACAAGCATATGTTTGCCTTGTGCAAAGGATTGTCATTTATTACACATAGTGATTATTATTGCTATTGGCAGTAATTGCCTACAGTATGTATTAAAATAAAGAAAATATTAAAAGTTAAAAATGATACTGTGGAATAAATGGCAATTAACATGTTGTTTCATTTTGACGTAGTACTTTCTTACATTGATAGTTAATTGCATTCTGGTATACACCTCAAACTTTAACCAACCCTTCAGACTTGTTGCATCTGGTAGAGGAGCTACTCTATGTTAAGTGCCTACATATTTACAGAAAATGTTTATTATAGTGAGTTAAAACAAAATAAGTGCTGTAATAAAAGTTTAATATAATGATGGTAGAATTGATGGTAGCAATGTCAGTTGATTTAGATAGATTTTTATAATAATTATCCATTATGTACAACTATTTATGTTGGTAAATAAACTGAAAAACATATTTTACCCGATAATAATCACAAGAATTAGGTGAAATTAAAACTACATATTCCTTAATCTCCTCCCACATAATTCTTGTCTCTTAACAAATGTGGTCACCAGAAACTGCACAGCTGCTTAGAAATGATTAGGGAAGAGACTAGACCATATATTTTTGGCTTAGTAACAGAAGGAAATATCAATATAGTTGTAATTAGAAAAGCTTGATACGAATGAGAATGCACTTTGGTCGATGTATCAAATCTTGCATCACACCAAATGCTTTTCATGTCAAACATAAAACTTTCAAATATCACCACAAGTACTCTTAATGCTGAATGCTTTAAATTGCATGTTGACTTAAGATTACAGACCTCACCTCTTTTGAATCTATTGGAGCTAAAAAGTTAATTCCATCAGTGAACTTTTAAGGTAGATGAACTGTGGGACCATAAATCAGGAGGAGTGTTTCACGGTATTGGCTTTTCGGTGCTGTATTTGCATCATCTGTGTAATGTGGCTAGGAGATGATAAACAACATTGCCTTTGTCACAATTGCTTATGTAACCTTGACTACAGTATGGAAGTCACAAATTTCATTTGTGTTATTTATTTGGGCCTTCATCAAAGTACAAACTTGCAAGTGTGGGGCCAGACCACAACAAAGTGAATAATTTAATCACTATAGTGAATTATACTCACCATTTCAAAGTAAAGGGTCAAATCTGATAAAAACAACAATAGAGTTTGTACCCTGTCATATAAATTTAAAAAAAAAAAAAAAATCTTTCATTTGTTTAAAACATCTGTTGATGGTAACTTTAGAATAACAACATTTACTATGAAGTGAACTATTAGCACCAACGTGGAACTTGATTAAGCCATTTGTTATCGTACCAAGGAAAGCCTATCCATAGATTTGAACCAAAGACGCTGGGTATCCTCCAGAGTACTGTAACATTAGCTTCTAAAAACCACCTCAGCCTTCTCCATGTTGCATTCTAAGATGCATGCTTCAATGATTGTGGAATATCCGTTTCATTGGCAAACATCTCAGTGTTTCATGGAAGTTTTATGAAATCCCTGTTGAGGAGCAACTTTTAAAGTATTAGTCATACTGACAACTGACTCAGCGAGCTCATTGACCACAGGAGTAACGTCTTTATGTACAAATCCCTTTTCTCATTTTATTCATCTCTGTTATCTTACAAGCATTTGTGACTTTTATGTTTATCTCTTAATATTATCATTCAGTAACATTAATGTATATTTCTCACTTCACCATCTATTCCAGGTTCCTTTTTTTCCCTAGCCACTTGGTAGGAGCTCTTAGACCAAATGGGATGTGAATACGTCAATACTTTTAATGCATCAACACCCTACCAGGTACCCATTTATATTTCCTGGTGGAGAGAGAGAGAGCTGTGTTTAAGGACACAAGCTGTAGTGAGTTTTTAACCCCTGACCTTAAGTTTGAGAGCAGATTAACCATTCCTTCTCCGAACTGTTTTATACTAATTGTTTTATACAGATTGTTGTATTATTATTTTTATAGATAAGTCTTTTTAATCCAATCATAAGTTTGCTTAGTATCTAATTTATAAAATTATAATAGTGAAAATACTGTATTACAATTAGACTACTGTACTATTGTTGATGGTGTTATGTTATTTGCATGCAACTGTTAACGAGCCATTAATAATCAGTCTTATATCACACTTTATTCCTTTAAATCAATTTCCTTTTGTATGAGAGGTCATTGGCCATTTTACATCTATGTCAATCCAACGCTATGACATCACTGTTGTTGATAATGTACATTACTTCAAGTATGCATCAGGTATTTTTTAAAACCAGGTAAATAGATACCTTTTAGGAGAACTACAACTTTCAACACAAATTTAGCCATCAATACATTTATATTCTAAACATTGCTTTTACTAATGCCGATCGTCACTTGCTAATCCCGTAGTTCAAATGGTTGTAAGGCCAGATATTTCTTGTTATTCTACTAAACATGCATGAAACATTGCGGACGTCACACAACATTCATCATCTACATTTACCCAACTCAATCACAACATTTGAATTCCTTTGATTGGTTTATTATTTTCATGAATTCTTTTCTTCATATAAAGAAATAAACAGAGATGTAACAGAAAAAAATACATGATAGCAAATAATTGGTACAAAATGATATATTGTCTTTGACAAGCGTTTGGTACGTTTTGATGTATTGGAAGAAGTAAAGACATTTGAGCTAATAACTACATCATAAACCAGTGAATACGTGATAACTTGCTTATATCTAGCACCATTTTAGGCTCACTATAAAAAGGTATAATTTTTCTTGTAGAGAATATTATGAATTGATAATTTTAAATTAAAGTAACTGAAATTTCTTTTAAAATTTGTATTTACATTTTAAAATTGTAATAAGTTTCCATTGATTAATTTTCTAAATAATTTAAAAAGTTTTAGCACTACAGATTCATTCGATATTAGATTCTGTCCTATATACTTTATAGTTCCATTTTCTTTATTTCTCTCTATTCATGATTATTAATTTTCTTCTTATATTTTATATCGTTATGAATTTCATGATAAATTTTCCATTAACCATTGATTAACCTGAAAAATTGAATATTGGCGGTCAACATCAAAGCAGTATTACGTCCCGAGTTTTTTCATTACCTTGTAAAAGTAGAAGAAAATGAAAAGCATGAAATAACTGGAGGCATCAAAATAATTAAATGCAGTGCTGTGAGCCCCTTGCTTTTGTGATGATACAGTACGTTGGATCGATATTTTATTACTATATCTCTGAAAACGCTGTCAAAGTGAGGGTTCCTAAATAATTTATAAGCGGTACATTGATAAAACAGATCAGGAAGCATATTTTATTAACAAATCCTTTTGGAGGAGTATAATGCATAATAGGATAAAATATTAAAATGGACATTATAAGAAAAATGCATAGATTTCATGCTGTGAAATAAAAATTTAATATTGTAAAAGCTTGTGATGCATTGGTGAGGCTTCAGGCTTCTTTTCAAATGATCAGTTGTTCAAGTTTAAAGGCTGTTCTCACTTTTATGGCGTGTAAGCCACTTTTTTCAAGTTGTTACACTTCACCCAAAGCATGTACCTAGTTGGCTTTAATATCCCAATAACATAGCTACAATATTATCGAGTATTCTTTTTTTTGAAATTGTGTTTTGACTGGGATTATAAATTGTAACGCACATAAAGGCATGACAATATATAGAACAATAAGTTAAATTATCACATTTAACAACTAATATTATGGATGAAATTTAAATATAAAACTGGTATATTTCTTGATGCAAATGAGATTCACATAGCATATGGTTGTTGGAAGTGGTTATTCGCATGTACAGAAATCCCAGATTTTTCCATTCATTTAAATTTAATTATTAATTAAATTTAAATTATACTATGCTAAATATTGTATAATTTTCATCAATTTACCAATATGCAAATTTATGGATATGAGCCATATTTAGTATGATATTCAAGCCTTAGGCTTCTGGTCATTATGACAATGTTTGTGATTCTGAATATGTCTTCAGAAAATATAAGCTTATGTTGTTTAGTATGCTTTTATTGGTGCCCAAGTATGATTAAATGAAGTGTACTTAATCAAGCATTTTGGCCAAAGAAAGTAATGTTATTGATGAATAAAAAATATATATGAGTGTTGGTAGGAAGGGGAGGTATGTTGTGGCCATCTTAAAGGGGTGGGGGGTGTTTGTACTCACATTTATTGTAAAAAGAACCCAATATTTTCACCTAAAATTGACTACTGGCTTCATAATAATCTTTCTCATTACAGAGGTCTAGTTTATAGTAATTTGAATTGCAGTATTTATCACATATTAAAACATACTAATTCGCTATTGTACTCATTGAGCAACAGTAATTTAGTAATTTAATCACATAAGTCTAAAATAATATTACTTAATGATAAAATTTAATTAAGTCTGTTCATTCTTATAGCATAAACACTCCAATCTCAAATTTCATTATTTTCGTTTGTTTATTGTAAAAGATATGCAAGGTTAAAAATTAATATTCATTAAGTTATATTGGGTTGAAGAAACAAACCCAAACATGATGTCACGTGTAAGATATTCAGCCATCGGCAAACGCTTGGTGGAGTAATAGATGTCTTTTCAATCATCGCACCTGCGCTGGCTTCATCAGGTATTGCAACGTGTGCTTACTAAGGCCATATCTACAAAAAAACATGTTTCTTAAGGGGGAAAGATTAATTTTCCCTTTTATTATTTTTGTTCTTTGCCAAAAGAAAGTAGACCTTACTCCATTTATTCTTTTTTCATAAAAGTTTCACCACATATAAAATTTCACACACACACAGTCACGCCCTCACCCAGTCATAATATAGGCCTACGCTAGACACACAGATACACATGAATGTGAGCGTGTTTAGATTTCTATGTCACACATATACACACACACACCCACCCACACCCACACAATCATTAACTATGCCAGACACAGATATTCAATGATCCTAATGTATAGAGTAGTCCCGCTGTTCATATTGTATGTTTTTTTTGTTTTTTTGTATATGTTTCTGTATTAGTCTTTGAACAATGGGTAGACACCAGAGAATCAACTCCATTTAATCATCCATTCCATTACAGTGTGATAAGTGAATCATTTAACTTCTATATTATAAAAGAATTACTGAATTTGACCAGGTCAAAATTGAAAGGCAAAAGCCTCTAATCTGAGTTAAGAAAACAAAATGAGGCCTAGCTGTCAAGTTCCGAATCTCTTCAATTGCAAACAGCACCAATGGGAGGAATACCACAGGCTGTTGCTATACTTATAAATACTGTGGACTTTTTATGCGTTCTCCCTGTAGAATTGGCTTTTTAAATGGTTGCACTTGTACTGGGAAGGTTAGTTAGCCATCAGTTTGCTAACCTCATGTGGTTGTTCTTCCTATACCATTTGACAAACATCTGCCATATTTCTGCTTTGCATTTTAGATTAGTTGGTACATGTTTATATCTTACCGTAAAACATAGCGTTCTTATGAATTTACTGTCCCAACATGTTGATGATCATACTACTAGGATCAAATATCCCATCTGTATATTTTAATCATCATTTACAGTGGCAGAAACCAGTTTTATAATCTGTGTTATTATGTTAGCAAAATTTATTTTTCGTGAGTAAAACATTTTTAAGGAAGCAGAAATTTAAACTAAAATTTTAAGGTTTAAAATAATGGATTAGGCCTACATTTAAAGCAAACATTATGCCAGAATTCAGGATCCATTCTTCATCCCAGAAAAGTTTAAGTGATGTACAGACTAGAATAATTTCTAAGTTGATCTTTTTTACATGCCAAAGTGTTTTCCATTAATTGACGATCAAATTTTATCAAAGTTGAACAATTTTTCAATGCCATTTTGGATTCGTCTTATTCAATTGTTCTACTGTAGTTGTAAATCAGCTTTAGTTGATATTTATTAATTTATGTAATAAAAAATATATATTTATTTTTATGTTATAGTAACACCAACTCCAGTCGCCACACCCCCGAGGCCCGTCTTTACGCTACAACCTCAAAATGTTTACATAGTGAAAAGCAAACCCGCAAGAATAGAATGCCGTGCCCAGCCGACATCAAGTATAAATATTAGGTGTAATGAGGAGTTTGTACCACTACCTGATATAATACATCTTACGACGTTTGAAGAATCTTCCCGACAAATTCGACATGTTGCTTATGGTAAGACAACCATTATAGTTACTTCTGGTATAAATAAATTATGATTTATATATGCAAAAATATAAAATGAATATATAAATAATACTAAAATGGAACCCTTGAACTCCTGTCTATGAGCTTGTAAACCTGCTTCCAAACTAATAGATGAGTAAGTTGACAACATGCAATTTAAAATAATTCACAAATTAAGACTAATTATACAGCTTGATATTATTAATAAATACTTGGAATGATGCAGAATATAAATTGATAATTACAAGGCTTGCAATAATTTCATTTGATAACTTATTAGTAGTAACGCCCTCTATAGTATCAATTTGGAAGTGAGCTGCTGATTAAAAATTCTTCTCACATACTTTACACAGGCACTTCTTGATCTGCTAGGAGAACATTTGAGACCATTAATCTTCGCACGTGTGACTGTGGTGAAGTTTTCTACTGTTAACAACCTATAAATGTCGAAAAATTAAGCTAATTGTGTGAATTTCATGCCTCAGCATCTCGCCAGCATCTCCTTAATGCTCCATTTTATCTGAAGTGTTAAATAAATTTTCAGTTTGTTAGTGTATGTTTTTCTTTTGCAGAAATAAGTAAAGAAGCAGTTGATGCTCATTTTGGAGAATATTCATGCCAGTGTACAGCATTAGGTCATGGTAATATTGAAGAAGATAGCAAAAAAGCTGTAATTCAGGTGGCCTGTAAGTTGTACACTCTTTCTAACTCAAAATAATGTATTTCAAGAAACAAGTCAGCAGTTCTTCATTCAATAATAGAATCTGTTTCCGAATTTTGTGAAAGAAAATCCATCTTCTTGAAAATTTTGTTACGACTGAACGTAGTTTCCGTGCTAAAAAATATGCAAGTGCTTTCATCAGTAAATACTCTTGTCATTGATTTTGAGTTTCATGTTCTGGGGGCATAACTTCTTGCTAGAAAATTCATATCGTAACTCTGTAAATTTTCTTACATTTGCAAATACACCTGCCCACGTCAGTCATGTTTTCAACCCATTCCAGTTGCCAGTGGAAAGAATTGAAATTGCATTAGTCCTTTTGTGTTTATTCTCCATGTTACAAACATATTATCAAAGAACTTGGCCTAGATGTATTTCTGCACTGACGTACTTCCACTATCGTTTTAAAAGTATATCTCTTAACTTTCACTTTAATCATCGATTAAAGTGTATTTCTGTTTATTAGAGGCACATAATACAGCTATTCGATCGATTAATCGTTATCCATAATTTGGTTTATAAAACGTCTTGACAAAGACTTAAAAACTGAAAACATTACTATATAAAAAATATTAAGTGAGTTTCTTAAAGAAAAAGAATTATTTAATCGCAAATTTAATGGGAAGACCCATTCATAACATTTGTTTACCTATCGCCTAGAGATATTTTCTTGATTTTATGTAACTTTGATCACCTCTAGTGTAATGAATAACCTGCCAACTCGAATAATCCGCTTTACAGAATATCTGCCATCCTGAGACCTTAATGGTGACATTTACCCACTTCACGTCGGTTTTATTGTCACATTTACTGCAAGATCAATACGCGTAGTTTAGCATATCTTAGTAATATCAGGTGCCTTCACAGAATACTGTAGAAGATCTAAATCGATCAAGTTAACCGGTTATATCACCATACGCTAAAAAGCAAAATCTGCAAAGCTTTTGAAAGATGCCGTGTACAGTTAAAATGTGGGAAAACCTAATAAAATTTGGCAAATCCAGTTGCCCTTTTGACATGATCAAATACTTTACCATCTCTCTGTTCCAATCCTAAAAATTGGCAAACAACTTTCTATGCAAAAATTTGTAAGTGGTATTATTGTATATGCATCTGTTAATTGGAAAATATTTTTTTCTAGTTTTCAGTAAAAAGCTATTCGTAAATATTGCTTATTTCTCATTGTATCATCATTATCATCATTGTCATCATCATATTATCACCATAATCATTGTAATCATCATCATCATCATCATCAAATTGAAAAAAATGTATCAAAACCTCATTATTGTCTTTGTCATTAACATCATCATTTTCATCTCATCATCATTAGCATAAACTTCTCCAATATCATATTTTTATTTATTTTATATTTATAGTGCCTTTCACATTTGAATAAAATATCAGTCACATGTGATGCTATTACCCTTGGTTAGATATCGGAAAATATACACTGTATATATTACTTATAACTATAATAAATTGTCTCTATTAAATTATCATCATCTCTACCAATATTTTGCCACTTTTGTTATAACATTCACTAACATTTTTTATTAAAGAAGGCCCTAAATTAGTTCACTCTGGGTCAGTTATAAGTGTTACCTTCTTTAAATATAATATAATGTCATAGATTTACAACAACTGGAACCTTGAATTGGGTTTTTTTACAGATGGGTTTTGTTCCAACTTTTTTTTTTTTTTTAATATATAATAAAACATTACACAAATCAAGAATATAGAGCGGAGTCAATGCTGAAGTCATGAGTCAGGAACCATAATGTAATCACAGACATAACGCTAATTTCATTATGATATGTTTGCGTTGCATTCATCACATAAAACGTATTAAGCGTGCACAATAGAACATCACCAGTAGCTGATACGGTCTTCAGTATCTTAAAAAATCTCACATGGCCATTTGTTTATTGTCGTAAAAACATTTCTAAATTAAAAATCTTGTCGTTGGCTGTTGTTTATTGCGTTCTATGGAGAATGTTATGATTCATTGATTAGTTGATGCCGTATACCGAACTTGCATTGTAATGAAATTAAGAATATTGAAAATCTGAGCTTTTTGAGTTATTACCTAACTTTGATTATTTACCTGAGAATTAAAGTTCAATCATTCATCTAAAGGATTCCTACAATGTTTTCAATAGTTATTTCAGGTTTTCAATTCTTTAATTGTTGCTTATTTAGCAGTCTTTTTTGCCTGTTGGAAACCCTTAATGTAGTTAATGGGTTAAGTATATTCTGCTTCATTATCAAATAAACCGGGGGCATTTGCTTACTTATGTTTGGTAGAACTTTAATGATAATTATGCAATTCCATCAACTAGTAATATATAGGCCATTAATAATTTTGATCTTAACTAACTAGGTAATATCAAAACTGGAAAACCAAGCCAGAGTCAATGAAATCTCTAGGCCAAACTTCTCTTCCATAGCCTATCTATAAGTTATTAGGTCAAGTAGAAAAAAATGTTTCTTTGCCAGTCTTTTGTAGCAGCAGAAGATACCCCCAATATATCTAGCCAATAATTTTTAAAAATTGAATGGGTCATCCATATTATTATATGGTTTAACAAAATAAATATAATATCTAGGCCATGATTTGTTAGTCTATTAAACAAGTAAGTCATTTATATTACTATTATTTAACTATACTCAGTTAAGTTATAGGTCTCCCACCAACGAAAAACCACTTTTTGAACTGGGGTTTTCATGGTCTTTAGCAGCTTTGGTCTCTAATTAGGATAATAAAATAAAAGAGGTAGTCTTTAATTTTTAGTGGAAGCGGTTGGCGCATCGGTTATGGCTTGGACTCCCAACCTTGAGGTCAGGAGTTCGGAACTCTCACTGTGCAAGTCGCTTGTGTCCTTGGGCAAGGCACTTTATCTACGTTTGTCTCTCTCTACCCAGGAGTATAAATGGGTACCCAGTGGTTTAGTACTGGGGAGGAAAAAAGGTGGCGTGGAAAGGAACTGGCCACCCTACCACACAATACCGAGGCTTAGTACAATGGGCTCACAGCACATTCCCCTACGTTCAGTAATGAACACGGGACTACCTTTACCTTTAGTCTTTAATTGGAGTTGTCTTTCATTAGAGGGAGAACTGTATTTATATTACTATATTTAAATGCATCTTGCCTATATTTTAATGATGTATATATTTTAGCATTTAAAATATAAGCCTAGTCATCAAAATTTTTCTCATTTTTTAAATCTGTGTTTCTTATTTATATCTTACAGATTTACGTAGACAGTTCGAGCAAGAGCCCCTTGGAATTTCATTGCCAGTAGAAACGGGGACAGAACTGTTATGCAGACCACCTCTCGGAGTTCCTGAACCTAATGTTTACTGGGAGAAAGATGGTCAGCAGGTCGATCTCAGCGAAGCCCACTATATCTTGCGTTCTGAAGGTCACCTTATTATCAATCATGCTGCGGTAGAAAACACCGGCAACTACACATGCGTTGCTGAGAATGTTGTAACTAAGCGAAAAAGCGAAATTGCAGAAGTTATCGTTTTCGGTAAATATTGCCACATATTTTTGTCTTTGAATCAATCACTAACATGTGATCAACCAATCAATCAATATATTGGAAAACACTTTTAAATCAGTGACACACATGCATTGATGGTGTATCCTTATACAAAACAAACAATAATTTAACAAATAAAACTTAACAATGCGATGCAAATTTATTGTGTTCCAAAATGTGGAAGTGATTTAGCATGAATGTGAGGTTTAGTGAGTGGACAGTAAGTTGGCAGTAAGTGTCAATCAAACTTACCAACTGACCAATCAGACATGTGGGACATTTAATGCAACAATATCCAAGGGGCGGGGCTTTGCTGAAAGGTCCATTGTAAAGGTTAAAGGTTATTCATTTATATTGAGCAAAATTTGTAGGGGTCCTATAGTACGTTCAATTCCTGTAAGAATCAAATTGTTTGCTCTCGTGATCCCACTCCTAAAGTTTTATAATGTCTTAGTTTGTCGATCATCAATGCGATAACCAATGTTAGATGAGAGTTTTAAAATACTGTCAATCATTTTCACCCAAAGGCTATAAAATTTAATATCGTATAATATATTTATCATCAGAATTAGAAAATAATTTAATTTCTTCTAATGCTTAAAAAACATGACCTGGACCACAATACATCTAGTGAAGATATTAAAATGAATTAATAGTAAATAAAACACTCCATTGTTACATCTTATACCAAGAAGACCTTGGCATCTTGATTTAACCTCTGGTAATTAAAAAATGTATTGCAAAAACATTGTCATTAGAACCTTGCTTATTATTACATATTTAAAATGATGAAGATTGATTCTGTTATACTCGTATGATTTGTAAATTATTAATTACCATTTGATGCAGATATGAGTCCACCTTAGGCTAAGTAGCCATCCCTAATTTTTTGAGATTTGGAAAGAAATAATAAATGATAAGTCGAAAAGCTACACAGGACTATGATATTAAATGAAAATTTATCAATAAAGTAAACAATTGTTAACTTTAACATTTAACAACCCTGCTAAAAAAAATGGAAATTCACTCATAGTGTGTTACTGATGGTGACCAAAATTAAAGGGTTGTGATTCATCCATATATCAGGGTGTGATCAACCTAACATCCATCCTCCCCAAATCCACACTCCTCCCATCTTTTTGTGGCTTATGCCTACAGTATATCTATACACTAGGTTTCTTCTGTTGCCCATAGAAATCAAAATGTTTTTGAGTACATTTTATATCAATAATAAATAAGAAAAATGTCAGCCTGCTATATTAATCTCAATACATTTGTATAAAAAAAAATTTTTACGAAATTCAACTAACATTTTACGCATTCGAAGAAATTAATAGCTCTTTGCAAAGTGAAAAGCTAATATTTTAAAGTAAAAACCTGGCAAACATCGCTATTATGAGAATTATGTACATCTTCAATGCCATATGCCTTAAGGAGATCTCGTATCTTGGGGAAATTGAAATTCTATCGGTGCTTCAGCACTTTGAGGATGATATAGACTTAGTAAAAAATAAAGAGGCCTTATATTTAGGTACTCAGCAAGCCCGATTAATGACCATGAGCCCCAAAATTTTTATGTCTTTCACAAATAATCGCTTGGTTAAAATGTTTTCCTTCAAACTCCATAGTCCTTTGTTCTAATCCTTTAAAATTAAAACATATAATTTCCTCATGAATAACAAGAATTTCATTTTTAATAATAATTATTGACAAACATGTTTCTTCCCGTTTTACTCATTCTTCTCAATCCCTCAAACTTGTTACTCCACGAGTCAAGCATATTCGTACCGGTCAACGCTCTTTTTCTTTCTCTGCTCCTAAACTCTGGAACTCTCTGCCTCCTCAATTACGTATCATTTCTTATCCGCAATTATTCAAATCTACTCTTAAATCCTTCCTCTTCAAATAGTTCAACTTCTTTCTAACATCCTCCAGCGCCGGTGACAAGCCAGTTTTGTTTGCTTTAATAGGCGCTTTAAAAATGTGTATTATTATTTATTTATTTATTTATTAATAATAATAATAATAATGATAAACATATTAATAGCTTTTTACTTATTATAGTGCATGTAAAATGTATCAAAACATGTGACTTTTAAAAATATTGGTAACTAAATAATTAAAGTGATGATCATTGGAGAAAAGAAGTGTTAAAGAGTGATGAGAATTAGACTTACTATAGTATATAGATTCCAGATTCAAGTTTTATCATCTATATTGTTGTATCTTGTCGTCATACTACCAAATTTACCACCAGAAATCCCCATTGGACAGTCTTCAGACTTTTGTAGATTTAAAGTCCTTGGCTATCATTGGTGTGTTTTATACCAAAAGATTACAAAATGGTTATGAACATATCATGTGTGAAAAAAACCACAAATTATTGTTTGTTTGTTATGAACTAACACCAATACTGCCAATTGTTCCTGTTGGTCTTCTTTTTCGATCACTGAGCCAAATATTTCCTGATCTAATCTTCCGAAGAAATGTGTATTGCTTCACAATTTTGTTGAACTGTCTCTACCTGTCTGTCTCTTCAGCCCATCATAAAAAAAGTCATAAAAATATTTATTATGAGCAGTTGCTACTAGTTGGCTCAAACAAATTATTTAATTAATATATAAAGTATAATTATTTGTCGATATGTAGATAGAACACAAGGTTAAAAAAAAAGCAGTTAAACTTGCTTAAACTTTTGTGGTTTGTCATATATGTCAACTAAAGACAAACAAGTAAACTTCCTTCTTAGAAGCATAATTCAGCAGAGGAATTTGCATCCAAATGGCATTTAAATGCCAGTTGTAATGATTTCCCTCATAAATATTTAACACATACAAAACCTTATTGTGGTCTGTTAGGTTTAACTTCATCACTTTGTCTTTGTCTTCTTTACTGAATAAAAATTTTTCTACTGGTAGCTGGATGAACTTTTAATTAACCACAAGGTAAAACAAGGCCAGATATCAGACAGTCCTCATCCCATAAGGGTCTATGTCACCTTTAATAATCCTAAGAAGTATTAATAGCATCCATAGTTACCAAAAGGTTCATTGAAAAAAATAGTTAGTACTGTTGATAAAAAGCATTAAAGCTATATGTTGATAGGTTATATACTTGTCTCTAGAAGGGCTTCATATCCCTGGAGATGTCTGCGACAGTGAATATGATCAGCTTACTGTGGTTGCATGTCATATTAGGTATAAATTATGGCCTCTGTGTGCCTACACTCTTCCAGCTAAACAGTTGTCAGTGATCCTGTTTTGTCTAATAACTATATATCTATTTTCTGGATCCATTAAAGTGGAAATCATTTGTGATATTTCTTGGCAAATATTACAAGAATGCAGAATAGGCAAAAGCCAATTTTTTTTGGAGCTGTTAAATAAACACTGGAATTGCAAGGTGACAAACGACACTGTCAGTTTGTTTTGTTAATATAAAAGGTTAATAAAGATATCTTGTTTGTTATAAAGCCTAGAAACTTCAAATAAAACCCTCAGCAACTTACAAGCTCCCATCATTTCTATTCTTCTGTACTTCAATGTTCTTCAGTATGTTATTCAATTACTTGACATTTTGTAATTTTTTTTTTGTATCATTCATAAGCTTCTTGAATTACATGACAGATTGATGCCTAGAGGTTAGGCCATCCATGCAAGACGTTCATTAAAAAACTTAAATGATATTTGAATGGGATAGGATGATGAATGCATTGTACGTTACATGTGTGTATCTCGCCCAAGCGATAGTGAACCTATAATAATGACAGACATTGTTTTCAGAGGGACTTCAACTTGAGAATACTGTAGGCCTTCTATGCACCTCGTAAATATTGCATAAATGATTTAATAGAAATATTGACTTTTTTTTATTTTTTATGTCTTTAACATTTGTAGCATAGGCTCATTATTGGACTTAATGAGCAGAGATGTAATAAAATGTTGGTTTTTGAATCTAGGGTCCTAGGATTTGATATATTACCTATGTAAAAAATCTAGGGAAAATCTAATAATTTAAATTCAGTTAACAGTAGTATTTACATTACCGTAAACTGACAAATTTTGTTCGTGTTGCATTGTAGGTACACATGTGCAAAGTGTCAGAAGTCCTCTCCAGACTGTTTGTTTTACAAGTCATGTGACATGCCTAAATATGGTCATGATAACATCACATCATGACCATATATATGCACATCATGACTGTATATGGGCGTAAAATTATAAATAGGCTACTTCAATTATGAGGACCCACCATATGTGATACTAATTCAGTAGCATCGCCTCTACCCCCCTCCCCCCTTCTCAGACAGTTTTTAGATTAATTTCATCCTTACTTCTCAAACAATAAAGAAAATAAGTATATTTCTTTCATGCACAAAGGAAACAGACCTTCCTTTTCTGATTATTGGCCTTATTGGCTGTTGGGGTGCCATCTTTAAGCCCAATCATCATCCACTCATCCCCAAAATGTTGCATCGAAGGTTGAATCAGAACTGTTTATAAGTTGAAGCTCAATGTGAATGAGTATTCCGCCTGTTGTCTAAAAATGTATGTAGAGCAATGGATAGTAGAGCAATGGATAGTAGAGCAATGGATAGTAGAGCAATGGATAGTAGAGCAATGGATAGTAGAGCAATGGATAGTAGAGCAATGGATAGTAGAGCAATGGATAGTAGAGCAATGGATAGTAGAGCAATGGATAGTAGAGCAATGGATAGTAGAGCAATGGATAGTAGAGCAATGGATAGTAGAGCAATGGATAGTAGAGCAATGGATAGTAGAGCAATGGATAGTAGAGCAATGGATAGTAGAGCAATGGATAGTAGAGCAATGGATAGTAGAGCAATGGATAGTAGAGCAATGGATAGTAGAGCAATAACAATGCAATAATAATACCGTATCGATATTACTTGCAGTTGACCCTCAAGTAGGTTACTAATTAATTTAAATATTTTCATAGTTAATTGCCTGAAATCAGCAAGAAACTAAATTATTTTCATTCTGTTTCTCATTGGTTAATAAATTATTTTATCCTTTTTAATGAACAATCCAGAAATTTTATTACAGACTGTAAAAGTATATATCTAGTGGGTGTGTCTAGTTTTTATATTAAATTTTTTAAATTTTAAATTTTATTTATTCAATCGTCCAACAGGACCAAGAAGGTCCCACTTACAGGCGAAGATTGTAGTAAAATATTTCTATGTACAATATAAAAATATAAAATATTTAAAATTCATCAAATTATTAAAACATAGTAGAGTTAAATATTACATCGATTAAACACATAAAAATTACGTAAGATAATTATTTAAATGACATTTAAATACATATAAAGAATTAGAAAATATATCAACATCAGGACATTTGGCAACAAAATCATTAACATCTAGATGTGTATAAGAGACAGGGTTGCACGTGGTGTGGATTGATGAACTGCCCATGGTCCTGGGGTTGCACATGGTGCATGCTGTCTGTTTTGAATGAAAAATACGAAATCAGATTACAATCGAAGGAATTAATACATTTAAATAAAAACAGAAGATCAAGATACACGCGTTTAGTGGACGGAGATAAAACATTAACATTTTTATTCAGCAAGTTTAGCAAGTTTACCTTGCCTTTACCTAGTCATATGAAGGATAAAATTTCTTATTTCAAAATAATAAAATTTTAATGCATGCAAAAAAAAATATCAATGTGTGAGAAATCAAGTTTAAAACTCTGAATTTTGGAGTGAATTTTCTTTAGGTTTTCACAGTTTTATACATCCTTGACACGCAGATATGGTCAATAAAAAAGTTATGCCATTGTTTATTAGAGGTTTTGTAAAAGCTGACTTGAGCATCAAGATTTACGATATGCATCCTATGTTCAAGGAAGAACACAGAATGAATCAATTGTTACTGCATAAGAGAGGAATACCTAAATCATGAAAAAACGTCAATACTAAATTCCTGTGAACTTATTTTCCCCTTTGAGATTCATCTTGTCACAATTTGCACAAAAAAAATTATGTAGAAATATTAGTCATGTTCATGGAAATATTTTGTGGATGTAGATATTATTTACAGTATTTTTGTTTTAAGATACATGGTTTATTAGAGATTGTTTGAGAAAAGTTCAGCTGACTTGCTGCAGGTAGATGTATGGAAATCCTGTACAGTCGCATAAATAAGCTAATTAATGCTTCAATCTTATTAATCTCAGACTAAGCTTTTTGACAGATGTATGCTAAAAGCAAGCTTTATGCAATCTATTCTATAACAACCTTTTATATCATTGTCGTTAAATGAATTTTACACTATCGTTTAACAAACCTGATAATGATGTCAAAATTACACCTGAAAAGAATTCTTAATTTTTAATTTTTTTTAAATCTGAATGCTGAACCTCATATATCGGCAACTCTTTTATGCCGTGCAATATGATCTTGAACGAAGGGCGTGCTCTACTACTAAATGAGAAAACAACTATATTTTTATTTTATTTTACCCTCCTAAAGATCTTCCAACAATCTTGCTAAACAAGGTAAAATTTTGCATTACAAGAGAGAAATTCTCTTAGATTTAAAAACTTATTTGCAGTGTGCTCTACAACCATTTTGTTCATTACACACTTGACCAGTGTTCTAAGAATCAAAGTTACACACATTTAAAAGGAACCGAACCATGTCTCTTCTCAATATCTGTGTCAGCCTCTGAGTCATCGGTCTGTGCAGCAAGTTCTTAAAACTGCTGATATGAATCTTCTACCCCTTTTTTCAAGACACTCTGGCTGGCTTGCTCATTTTCTGTGGTAGGCCCCTTTTCTTGGAATCAGATGGAAAATTCAACTCTGAAGTTTAAACATTTCATTTTGGTTTATGATATTTAATTTCTTTCCTGCCTTTTTAATTATTTTTTTCCCTTTTTGTTTTGTTGTTTTGTATTGCTGGCAAAGTAATTTTGAGAGAGTGGTGCTGTGAGCATCTCCCCATAGATAGAAAAACGTGCACATTCTAAATAGCCAATTGATTGATTGACAAGAAGTCATTTTTCTGTTTTCCCACTTGCGCATTGGGTCTAAATGTTATTAGTGATAGATTCACTTACAGTACAATGGTGAATTTAGTTGACCTTGGTATGTCAAGTTGGTGTATATCACCCCAGTCCATATCCCAGCATGGTCCCAGTCAGTATAAAACATCAATTCAAAATAGTAACAATGTACAGTGTTAACTTCTCAAACCAACTCACAAATACATACCTGGAAAAAGAAACTCCCCTTTGTCTGTTCTAATTTATATCAAACTCAGCAGTTTTTATTGTCAGTGAGGAAAAAATTGGTAAAGTATTAGTAGTTCTCAAATTTAGTATACTGCTTTAACGCAGTGATCTTCAACATTTTATTTCTTGACTTGAAAATGCATTTTGTCATCATATCCATGGGTCAGCCACTGTTTACATCCCGTGTTGACCCATTTTTTGCACCTTCAATTCGCCATACTGTAGTATAATTACATACGCTGAATCGGAAGTGCTTCACTCTAGTTCGTCTACATATAACTATAATCTTTACGGTAAATACTAAGTTCTATGACCTGCCGACCTCATATCATAAGTTCTTTCATATTGAGTTGCTGAAATTGGTGGTTGTAAAAAAGTTGTAAAGTTCATTGTCGAGCATTCCATGGGAATGGAACGGTTCTGAACAAAAGAAGTTATCTACGATAAACCCATCAACTGTTATTTACAGCATAACATAATATATGTTCACAGGTATAGAATTGTAATTCTAAAGAAGGAAAATTATATATGGCATTCCTTTTGTTCACCTCTGAAATGAAAAAGGAAAAGATTCGTGAGAAGAGAACATTTAAGATTGAAATCTTCATTCAGTGAAAAAGATTGCATGTGTATATATATTGTTTCTGATCGGTCTGTTGAGCATTTCCCAACCAAATATCATGGGTAATTAAGTACTTTTTAACTACCCATGAGATTTTTAAAATGTTCGGGTCACCAAAGAACTTAATATAGCAGAGTAATGAACTTTTCACATATTTTCATTAAAATTGATGGAACATCCACCCTTCCGTGAGCGGAGTAATATTTGACCATTTGACGAAGTGGAGAAGCTAACAAACAAACAAACCTAAGAGGCACCTTTATCATAGAGATATAGCACCACCACTCACATTTCCACTAGATCGCGAGGCTGGTCTCTCTACTTTTATTATCTTTGGTCACACTGTGATTCTAACATTTCGTCCACATTGTCATTTTAACCCAATACTTTCCTGGAGAGGGGGAGTACTTACTTGGTTCTTTACCATCTCACCATGCCATACACAGATTTCTTGATATTATATTGCTTACATATTTCATCAGCTAAGTATTGACCTTGGTAGCAATAACCACAGTGGACCTTTCTTTAAGTCCCCCTGAGTCTCCCATCCCTCGTATTTTGTTGCATCAAGCTTCACAAAACAATGGTATCACTTGAATTTCATTTGTACCCTGTTGTTCAAATGACAATAAAGAATATCGTATCGTATCGTATCGTATAAACGTACACACACAAATGCATTTTTGGGACGGTAAATGTGTTTGTGGGAAAAAGTGGTTATTGCTGGTTCTGATTGGTCATTTGTTTGATTGACATTCCACAAAGGTTAAGTATTACCAATGTGTCACATGCTTTTCTTTAAAAAAAAAATACAGACTGTTCTACTTTAAAAGTGAAGAAAATACAAAATATATTATTCATATTCGTTGCTTACAAATTCATAATTTTGCTTTTATATTTAACTTACAGTGGATGGAGGATGGACCGACTGGTCCCAATGGAGTGAGTGCAAAAGCAACTGTGACGCTGGGGTGAAACAGCGAACAAGATCGTGTACGAACCCAAAACCTGTGAATTCGGGCAAGAAATGCGTAGGTCAAGATATCGAGACTCAGACATGCACCTCATCGTGCTCAGGTAAGAAAACTTTTACCTCAAGAGGTTTTTTTTTAAATTTTATATTTTCATCCAGGAGTGAGCAACTTGCTGATTAACTGATTAAATTTTGTGATATTTCATATAATGGCAGGATTAGAGTTTATTTTATATAAGGTTGTTGTTCTTTCTCCAGTTTAATCTTCGTTGCCAATACTTGGCTTTGTTCTCTACCTATACCACTAGATTCAAGATTCAAACATCACTGATTAAATAAAGAAATACGGAGCAGGATAATTTCATTACTTAATAATAAATGTGGTAAAAGACATCAAATTGAAGTATAATAGAAACATCAAAGTTAATATGTATAAAGACTTATTAGTATTACAACATTGAAAATGGAATGACCTTGGAAGTTATATTGAATTGCAGAAAATAGAGGAAATTGGCATGAATAATTTGTAGTCAAAAAAGAAATAAATATTTGAATAATTTTAATCAATTGCAAATTATTTTTCATGAAAATGGAGAAGAGGAACAATATGGAGAATAATAAAAAATATTAATAATATTAATGATATGAACTTGGAAAAAATTCGTGTAAGTAAACCAAAAATTGTACGTACATGTATGTATGTGTATCATACCAGAAACTATATGAGCTTAATAAAGATATAGGAATAATACATAATAGATTAACATTGCAATTATACTGTAATGTTTACCTTTCTTCATTCTAATTCACATATATACTCAATGCATTAATTTCAAATTTTGTATGCTGTAAAATTACTGGGTGTAATATTTATAGTTGTTTGACCTTCGATTAAATGGCTAAATAATTATTAAAAAGTTGTTCGAATTGTACATTTCAATTGCAAGTAATGATCGCTCCAATTGCGATCACTTAAGGATTCTACGGTTTAATCGCAAGCTACTTCAGTTACCTTCGTGTGATATATAGTCGTTTTCATCACAGCCCTGACCTTCAATTAGATGACTAAATAATTATTAGAAGGCTGTTCGAATTGTACAGTTCAATCGCAAGTAACGATCGCTCCAATTGTGTTCACCCAAGGATTCTACAGTTTAATCGCAAGCTACGATCGTTTAAATTACGATCACTTAAAGATTGTACAATTTAATCGTATGCTATGATCACTCCAGTTGTGATCGCTCTAGGATTCTATAATTCAAAACCAAACTATGATCACTCTAACTGCGATCACTCTTTAATTGTACAATTTCGATCACAACTTATTGCTCAAATTAAAATAATTTCTGGGATTGTAAAGTAGCACTTGCCATGATTGCTGCAATTGTGATCACTCTAATAATGCTCAAATATGGAACGATTCCACAAAGGAATGTTGTAGGTTGTTTATATACAGGATTAACAATAACTGCAATAAACCACTAAGCTGGATGTGACGGAATGTAGCTAATGGGGATAATGTAGCGCTATCCGTAAGGAATCTGTGTTCACAGCTTCCGATGTCAGAATAGCCAAAGAATGTCTACTTCTCGTTTTTATGGTCGAATTAGTGTTTACTGTAATTTTTCAAAAGGTGACATTTCCCTCTTAATGTTTTTTTTTCTTTTAAATAGACATTATCATAATTGTTATTATTTCTCCAAATAGCATTCGGTGTATATTATTTAATTTTTTGAGTAAATAAGTAATGATGGAAATTTCTACCTTTTAGGCACAGAAATAAAAAAGAAAATATTGGAATTATTTGTATTTATTCAATTTGTTTAGCCCTGTTCATACTGTGATATTTTGTTGACAAATTTGTACGTTTTGCCCATATATGGACTTATGATATCAATATCACATTCATACTTAAACAAATCACAAGAATCTGTCATGTAATACAATGACAGTGTAGACAGAACCTTAAGGGTTAACTTGGGTATCCATGTTTTTTCAAGAAAGTACAAAGCCCTCTCTTCTGTTATCTCTTCCCTTAGGCTTTCATCATGATTGTTGTAATTTTGAAAAAAATAATTATTATTCCATAAAAGCTTTCATACATTGTCCACCCACTTTATGCGTTGAATTGTCATAAAAGTAAAAATAATGAAAACAAAAGGTGACTCACTGATATTACCGTAGGCTACAGTATTGTTTAATTTGTTTCATTACTTCACTGACATCTTCGCTAGTAAAGACTTTTGGTATCTGTAAGAAGAGTCTGAGCAGTTAATTTATCTATTTATATCAACGCTAACCACAAAAATGTAAACATAATTCATATAATACCGAGTAAAGAACACAGTTCTTAAGCCAATAAGCTTATCTCAACTGATGTCATCCCGAATCGATCTCTAAATGGACGTTTTATCAAATACCAGCCGTGTTTATAAGCGGTGCAGAGATAATGATTAACCATAAATGTCTTTAATCTTTTGCATTTACAAATGGTTGTGAATTAGCTCATAATGCTAAAATAAGGCCTTTAAACAGTTGTTCCAAGATTCGATTTCAAAATCACAAGACATCTGATATTCATTCGCAATTAGTTGCAAGCCCGTAAGCCCAGGTTGATGAAGACTATAAAGCGTGATGTACACAATCCAACCGGTGTCATCGCAATCACTCCATTCATCATAATCACTTGATTTCATTTATAATGTCAATGATTATTGTGCAAAATGCAATCACAAAAGACAGTATATTTAAAAATAACAGATCAATGAAAAAGATTATGATTTTAAAAATAAATAAAATATGAACGTCACTGATGAAGTCACTGCAGTAATGCGAGAACAAATAGTTTAAGTCAGATGCTGGTCCCATTGTTTGTGTAATTGGGAAAGGCACGTCTATACCCCCAGAAAATATTAATGTATACATGGTGTAGGAGCGCAATGATTTAGAATCATAATGCTGAAATCAGTGTACAGTAATGTGAGAGTAAAAAGTTAAGTTGCTGGTCCCTTTGCTTGTGTCCTTGGGAAAGGCACGTCTATGTTTATCTCGCTACCCCCAGAAATATTATTAATGTATACATGATTAAGAATGGCATTGAATTAGCTACAAAAAAAACTATGAATATTTGCTAGGGAGCAGAGGCGGTTACACACTGTGTGTGATTATTAATGTATCAAACAGAAAAAATAGCATTTTGTGATGTAAATTAACCTAAAAAACTTATGTAACAGAGGATATAACCAATCATAATATTCACAATTTATGTAATTATTCCCTAGATCCAAACATGTGTGCATATCACATTAACCATATTTATCCTTGTGTGCCTATGTGTGAATATAAACATCTGAATGTTGTATGCATGCTGTGATTGGACATTATGTACTGAAACCCCATTAATATATAATTACAGCTATGTTTCTACTGATTGATGTATTGCATGGTATCAACAACAGAACTGTTATGATAATGTTATCTAAAACAACATTAGCAGTGTTATAATAACAAAATAATGATGCTAATGACTTATTTTGATGAATTATAATAGAACATCATAGAAATAACCTCAATTAAATATATTTCAACAATATGTAATATTTCATCAAAAAATCAATTGAGCATTTTGATGAAATTTGGAAAATGTTCTAAATTGAATAGAAGAATACTAAAAATAAATACCTGCAGAGGCCACACTTTCAATTATGGGTCTTGGCAACTGTTGTCATTTCAATTTTGCTCTCTCTTAATATGATAATATCATAAGATTATCCACCATTTATTTAATATTATTCTTACTGAATCTCCAAAGTTTTAGTCCCACAGTTTAATTTGTAAATCCGACAGTTGTTTGCGTTCACATTACAGGAAGAATTTCATATTACGTCTGGGACTCGCATTTTGCTTTTGCAATTCTGTTACAGGCTACAATGGAAAACGTAATGTCAATTCATATAACAGCTCCGTAAATAGCAGGATTAAGCATGAGACTTACAAAATTAGATATAAAAATTATTGTTGATAAAAATTATACACATCGTATCATTTATGTATATATGTAATAAACATTAGAGTGAAGTTGTTGGAATCTGGTTGAGGTGATTGAACTGAAAAACTTAAATTTGTTTATAAAATAGGAGATTCTTTTTATTATTATAAGAACCACAAAGGAAAATATGAAGAACTCATATTTCTATTTAATTATATAACTCTTTCTACACAAATGTATATGTTTACTTGCCTGGTTATATAATACAATATATTATGCAGGTATAATATATTGTATTATACTAAATATGAAAAGTATCCAGGGTGTAATTAAAGTACACTTAGTATGTGGAAAACCACAGAAAACATTACAGATTATTTTCCCTATGACAAGAATAGTGATGTGATTTCTCTTTGCTCTTAATCTTATCAATTGGCATAGGGTATCATAGCATAATCACTCAGTGGGCTATCTAAGCAGGGTGGAGGGATTGCTAGCCCTCTTAGAACAAGTTTTATCCCCTTCCTAGGTGCCCCAATAAAAATCTTGCTGGACTAAAACAAATTGTACTCTAGTAGTATTATCATTTTATATATAACGTCATTTCTCTAGCTTTTACCTCCTCTAATTCCCTTCATTCCTTCCCCCCCCCATCCCACCACCATCAGCCAGCAAAATGTCAAAACTTTTATATACACCACTAATAACAAAATTCAATTAAAGCACTTGAAAGCTCATTTAAAAGGATCAAATTTGATATCTGCTTAAAATAAAATACAAATCAAACCAAATTAGTTTTCACTGATTTACAGACCTTTTACTACAAAAATCCCTAATTCGTCTCTCAGCCAATTTAAGGTCTTTGCAAAATATAGGATTTGGGTTGTTTTTGTTTTTTTTTTGTTTTTTTTTTAAACTTTAGTTAATCGGCTCAACACAAATAGTAAATCAAAGGAAAGAATATGTAAAATCGCTGTGAACTCAATGGAACAAATTATCAAAATATACGTTTGAAGATCTGTACATACTATTAGATTATATATGGGCCCATTTGGGGCTGGTCATGCCAAAACAGCATCAGTGACAAAAACATGAAAATTGACTTTTTAATATATT